TTATACAGTCAAGTGCCCTGCTAGCAAAGTTCAGTGCAGACTTTATGGTCGTGTGGGCCATTATGACAAATGTTGTCGTAAGAAGACACATAAAGGACGCCACCTAGGATCCAAGAAGTCATCCTCAGGTAGTGCTGGCGCGCCCCCTCCTTCTGGCAAGCATCAAGACGCTGTGTCCAGTCGTTTCTGCCGTCGTGTACGTAGTTCCACAGACACGACGCCCCAGCACATCAATGTCGTCATTTCTTACGGTGACTCGTCATCCAGTCTTCAGATGTTACCTGACACCGGTGCTGACGTCTCAGTAATTGGTCCACAACATTTAGCAAGTTTGGGAATACCCCGGAGCAACCTACAGCCCCCTCCTCAGACAACGAAACTGACAGCTGATGGTTCCAAGATGGCTCCAGCTTTGGGATCTTTCTGGGCTACCCTTACCTTTGGTAAGCAGTCTTGCTCAGCCCGGATTGATGTTCATAATGGTATCCCGACTCCGCTCTTATCATATGGCCATTGTCAAGAATTGGCCATTATTTCCAAGGAATTCCCTAAACCTATCTTAAAGGTCACCCATGTCAACAGGTTGAAGGAATTCCCCATCTCTACTAACACGTCCCCTTCTGACGCAAGAGCTTACCTTCTCAAGGAGTTTGCTGACGTGTTGGTAAATAAGAAATCTTTAGGATCCACACCACTCAAGCCGATGGTGGGTCCACCTATGAAGATTCATCTTAAGGATGGTGCTACACCTTTTGCCATCCACACCCCTCGTTTGATTCCTCACGCCTACAAGGAGCTAGTTAGACAAGAACTTGACTCCATGGTTGCTCAGGGAATCATCAAACCGGCCGGAGACGAACCTTCACCTTGGTGCCACCCTCTCATCCCCGTCGCCAAACCTCGTGGTGGAGTACGGATCACCACCGATCTGTCAAAACTTAACCAGCAAGTTTCCCGTCCAGCCCACCCTTCACCCACACCCTTCGCAGCTGTTCGAAGTGTGGACCCGAAGGCGAAGTTTTTTACAACTATGGACGCCTTATGTGGTTATTGACAGATCGAGTTGGCCGAAGAAGACCAGCATTTGACCACATTCATCACACCATTTGGAAGATACCAGTATTGCAGAGGCCCCATGGGATTTGCCGCTACGGGCGATGCATTCTGTCAACGTGGTGACGCAGCCCTTCAAGGAGTCACGAATTGTGTCAAGGTGGTTGATGATATCTTACTCCACGACGAAGACTACTGTGCCCACCTCTCCCGGATATATGAAGTTCTCACCAGATGTCGAAAGTACGGGATTACCCTCAACGCTGACAAGTTTGTAGTCGCCGCTCCATCAGTGAACTTCTGTGGGTACACTCTCTCAGCATCAGGCATCGCAGCTGACCCGGAGAAAGTAAGTGGAATAAGGGATTTTCCAACCCCTGCCAACCTGACAGACCTCCGTTCTTTTTTAGGTCTGGTCAATCAGCTGGCTGAATTCACACCTGACATCTCCGCCGCAGCCCAGCCGTTACGCCCCCTGCTGAGCCCCAGGAGGACATTTCTGTGGACCCCAGATCATCAAGAGGCCTTCCAGCGAGTCAAGCAGGCCCTCTTGAGTCCACCTGTCCTCGCCTGTTACGACCCAGCCCTACCCACCGTCCTCCAGACTGACTCCTCCAGACTCTATGGCGTTGGTTACGCCCTTCTGCAGGACCATGGCGGTGGACAACTCCGCTTAATTCAGTGTGGATCCCGGTTCCTGACGGACGCTGAGACCCGATATGCCACGATTGAGCTGGAGATGTTGGCTGTTGTCTGGGCGATGGCGAAGTGCCGTTTCTACCTGATAGGACTTCAGCACTTCACCCTCTTCACGGATCATCGCCCCTTATACCTATAATCAATCACTACTCTTTGGATGCAGTAGAAAATCCTCGCCTTCAACGTCTGAAAGAGAAGCTCTCGCCTTATCTCTTCACGGCTGTGTGGCGTGCGGGTAAGCTGTTGTGCATCCCGGATGCCCTATCCCGCGCCCCTGTCAGTCGCCCCACCCCAGAGGACGAGATGTTGTGTTCTACAGCTGCTGCATCCCTCAAGTCAGTGGTTTCATTGAAGGCCGTCTTCACATAAGAAGAGTCTACAGCACCGGATGCAGACAAGACTCTTGAAGATCTCCGCACCGCAGCCCGGGCCGACCCTTCCTACATCCGGCTCGTCGACTGTGTGTCTCAGGGATTTCCATCGAACCGATACGACCTTCATGAATCGCTACTCCCGTACTGGAAAATACGCGAGGACATCTATTGTGATGGAGACCTCGTCTTGTATGGTCCACGAGTAGTTATTCCTGCTGCCCTACGCCGCCGTACCTTGGCCCGCCTTCACGACAGCCATCGAGGAGTGGAGGCCACCAAGCGACGGGCGAAGCAGACTGTATTTTGGCCCGGAATCAACGCGGACATTGCAAGTACCGTCCGTGCCTGTGAACCGTGCCAGATTCTGCAACCTAGCCAGCAACAGGAACCTTTAATGTGCGACGATAACCCTTCAAGACCCTTCGAGTCTGTGTCGGCCGATTTCTTTGCAGTTGCAGGGAAGTCCTTCCTCGTCATTGCCGACCGACTGTCTGGATGGCCTGTTGTCGTCCCCTGTGGTAGTGATACAACGGCTACTGCTACCATCCGGAGCTTCAGGCATTACTTCAGAGAAGTTGGTGTTCCCCTCCGCCTCAGGACTGATGGAGGACCCCAGTTCACCAGCCACGAGTTCCGGGACTTCATGGACCGTTGGGGAGTCCGTCATGTCGTGACCTCGCCCCACTACCCCCAGGCGAATGGACACGCTGAAGCCGCAGTCAAGACTGTGAAACACCTGATCCTTAAGGTGTCACCCTCAGGAAATATCGACTGCGAGGACTTCGATCGAGGTTTGTTGGAGTTACGCAACACCCCGAACTTCACCGGACGCTCCCCAGCCCAGGTTCTATACGGACATCATCTCAGGTCTTGTGTTCCTGCCCACCCAAAGTCTTTTTCTCAAGAGTGGCAGGCCAAGACTGAAGAATGTGACCGCCGTGCAGCAGAACGAGCCGCAGATGTCGCTGCTCGGTACGACTGTCATGCCCGCCCCCTTCCCAGGTTGAGTATCGGCCAGCAGATCAGGATTCAAGATCCGGTATCTCACCGCTGGGACAAGGTTGGGGTTGTTATGGGTATTGGCCGGTCCAGGGACTACCAAGTGCGTCTTCCTAGTGGTAGAGTATGGTGGAGGAACCGTCGTTTCCTCCGACCTGTGGAGCTGCCTAGTGTTGACCCCTCCCCAGTTGAGTCCCCTAATGTTGATGTCTCTAAAGTAAATCCATCCCCACCTTGTGTTTCTGCCCCAGTACTCCGCAGGTCCGAGCGACTCAGAAACAAAAGGTCCGCTCAAGATGAAACTATGAGCGTATAGGGGGGAGGGAGGTGTATGATATATATGGACACAAAGTAGTGCCTTCAGCTGTATATTATTATATTACTCTTATATTACTCCATTAATTATGTATAGTAAAGTATTGCAGAACATGTATTAATTCTATGTAATATTCCATTTATTGTGCACCATATTATGTATATAAATTATCACATTTATACTTTATGTATTTAGCTTGTGAATGCTGGCATCTGTACAGGCCAGCGCGTAGTAATACATAGATAGATGTAAAGAGAGAAGACAGAGTCCTCGTGGCGTGACCACGGGCTTCTGCGTCCTATTGTATATATATCTCCCGTACGAGAATAGAACCTACTTTTAAGGCAACAAGTGTTTGTGTATACCCTCAGTAGTATAGAACATTCTTTGGGTATCCCTGGCAATACACGCTAGAATGATGATAATGAAGTATTCTGTATAACAACTGTGACCACATCCAGCAAGCTTCCCGTGTATCACTTTCTCAGTTCACACCAGCACTACCTTTTCTCTGTGCTCTCATTTGCATTGTGTGTTTATCAAGTATCTTTTTAGTGTTAAACGCTGTTTTCCCCATTGAGCATGTCTGGAAAACGTCCATCAGCCTCCTCTGGGGAGTCTAAAGCTAAAAAGGCATGAAAAACAATCGCAATAGAAGTGAAATTAAATGTGATCACCCACCTTCAGAGAGGAGTGTGTGTGTCGGAGGTTGGCCACGTGCTTGGTTTAAGTGAGAGCATTGTTCGTACCCTGTGTGGTATATGATGGTTCCCCTAACCTGTACCATTTACTTGTATTCTTATGGGAAAATTATGTTTAATTTATGCATTTTTTAATTAAGCGGTGGTTTTCAAGAACATAACCCCTGCGTAAAACAAATGGTGGGTGTATACGTATATGGGCCGATAATTTTTTAATGTTGTATTTTTGGGTGTGTGTGGGGGGCTGCCTCGATAAGTTGGAATTTTGGATAATTCAGGAAGGCCAGGGTCCCATACGAGCTGAGTTATCAAGGTTTTACATCTATACTGGGTCAAGTAACATGTGTAGTAAGTTCCTTCACCATAAAGACCTCAGTCCCAAAACTTTGAGCCCAAGTTCACTATTCTTAATAATAAGACAAGACATCCACAAATATTAAACACTTACGTAAAAAAAACTGAATGTCAGGATAAGAATATATTCTATACCACATTCTTTCTCAATTGAGGTTTGTACAATAAAAACTCGTATCTCACAAGCCAAAGGTCTGCCATAATGAGGTTAATTTTAAGTTCAAATATGCTTGGACAGATATATTAATACTAAAAAAATACTGTTACTCATACGAAATATAAGCTGTGTACAATACTGTACAATATTGTGATACTCAATACACAAAAATGCACAGGAAACTATAGCTCACACACACACAATAAGACCTCACAATCTCATCTGTATATAACATACATAATATAAATGATTACATGTGTCAACACAATCATACTACATACATACCGGTACATTTAATGCAGGGGAGCCATGAGCAGTACAGCATATAAGGCAGGCCATCACCTTACCTTGTGGAAAGGAGCTAGTAGTATTCCCTTCAAAATCAGTACTAGATTCCTGAAAAGGGTTGCTGGTGGTAGTTGCAGGGGCTGGTGTAACAACTATACTGCTGATGTTATGCTTGCTGCCTATTATTTCAATTTCCTCTGGAGTGAGCTGCACTTTGGCCTGAACCATGCTGTTGGGGTCATGCCAGGTAGTTAGGGCCCTGGATTACAAGTCAATACTATACACAAATGTTGTTCACAAGAATACCTTTTAGCATATATAACCGAAGGTGGAGCTGCCTAACTAGAGTTAAACAGTACAGTAACAATCACGAAGCTTCCTGAGAGCCCCTAGTTACAGAGTCTGTGTTTCCACAGTAATCATACACCATATTCTCAGTTCTTCTCAAAAGGGAAAAATTCACAAGCCTAAACAGAAACCCTTCTTTACAGATCTTCCTATTCAAGGAAACAATTAATACATGTACCATAATATGTCATTTTAATGGATGAATTATTGCAATAAGCTGGATCAGCACATTGAAAACAACTGTACAGTACTGTACATTAAAATGAAGTTTTGCCACAATGGTACACCCTCCTCTTGCCATTACAGTACAGTAAAACCTCACTTGTCATATAATGAAAGGCAGACACTTGTTCCAGAATAAAAATGTTTGCCTTACTATAAAATATATACAGCTCCTCCCCGACTTACGCCCTACTCGACTTACGACCTGCCTCAGTCGTACCAAAATTTGGTCAAATTACGTATTTTCGAGTCCCAAAGTCAGTACGCAGACAAAATTTTCTTTGTAATTCACTTTAAAATGGCTGGTAAGCTTAAAAGTGAGTGTTTTGTGGTGCTGAGAAGAAAAAGAGACACTCATTTTAGATTTTCTATGTACAGTATTATTTAAGCATTTCCGACTTATGACCATTTCGACTTATGACCTGGATTTGGGTCCCTAACCCCATCGTAAGTCGGGGAGGAGCTGTAGTCTTGTACCAATAGACACTATATGGTAGAATAACAATGGTCTTAATGAACAGTATTCATAAACAGGTAATTATGCAGTTTACAGCAACTGCAGAATTTACTTCACTCAATTGATAGAACTATTTTTTCTATAATTTTCTTATACAGTATTACACTTCCGTCGCAAATTGATAATAAGGAAGTTATTGAATTTTAAAAAGAATAAAATCAGAGCACCTGTTGTCCCTACGCTGTTGCTCAAATTGTGTGTATTCGTATGTTAGCTTACCGCCCGCGCATGTGCCAGGGGGCGGCCGCCAATCAAATCAGGGGTGGGAGCAGCCAATCAAATATAGAGCGGGTGCAGCAGCCAATTAAATCTAAAGCAGGGGTGCCAACCAATCAAATCCAATACAAAATCTCAGCTTTTGATTCAACCAATTAGCATTCAATATTCAGCGTGGGTGCTAAGATGCAGGACATTTTTAATCAGTTGCAACATGGAGCCATAACGTGCTGGGTGCGATTTCGATTATTGGAAGTTTATCGTATTATTTCATTCTAAAAATAAGTTAACTTTAGATAACAGAGGAACCCACGATGTATTCAGGTCCCTGACTCAGACTCTAACCCTGACTCTGAGTAAGGTAATTAATAAAAGTAGGTAGTTGCAGGCACTCCAATCTCTCTGGGTAACTGAGGTTCCGTAGAATAGGTACCAGTTTGGTGGCCCTCACTTTGGACATTTTCAATCAATTGACACTCTCTAGCATATCTCGGGGACCAGACGGGGTGACAGTATTCCAGATTGAAGATTGCGATGAGTGATGGACCATCCAAATATCTAAACGACCTTCTCATAAGACATACTTTTATCCTCTTCACCATTGATCAGCTCATTAGCCGCTTGGGCGATCGGTCACGTCTCTGTTACACACTGTTGGCAAGTACTGGGCATACACCGGCTTCTGAATGTACCTGAACCTGCTCCAGTATTTGTCAAGTCTTGTCTTGGAAGAGCTCACACTCGGTTCCGTCACAACCCTTTCTGGTAGATTGTTCCAAGAGTTCACAACTCTCACTCCAAAAAAATTTGCCCTCACAGTTTTCTGGACCTGCAGTTTCTTCAATCTTGAGCTGTGACCCCTTGCGGGGCGAGCGTCCGCCAGCTCCAAGTAAGGACACTCGACTAAGTAGTGCCCCTTGAGATTCTTATACACCTCAATTAGGTCACCCCTTGCCTGTCTGTAGTATAAGCTAGGCAAGTTCAGGCGCTCCAATCTCTCAGGGTAGTTGAGGTGCCGAAGCGCAGGCACTAGTCTGGTGGCCCTCCTTTGAACATTTTCAACCAACTGACAGTCCCTAGCATATCTTAGGGACCAGAAGGGATGACAGTACTCCAGATGGGGAAGCAGTTCACTCTTGAAGATCGTTATGAGGGATGGACCGTTTAGATATCTGAACGACCTTTTTATAAGACCTAATAATTTATTTGCCTGATTTACCTTCTCACAATGGCCCCAGAACTTCAGCTCGTTGTCAACATACACACCTAGGTCGTTCTCACATTCAGTATCAAATAGTGCAGTTTCCTCATCCCGTTGGGACATATGATACGCCTCCTTACCGTTGGTACGCCCCAGGTGCATCCTCTTACACTTCGTGACACGTACAGATATTTATATTCTGACCATGCGACTCTAGGATTATTACATAGCGCTTGGTGGTCCGGAGTTGAAGCCCCCGGTTCGGGATCACCAGGGGTCCAGGGGCGGAGCCTCCGGTTAGGTTGTTAGGTAAGGTTCAGTTTGGTTATATGGTATAAGTTAGCAAGCACAGAGTACCGGGAATTCAAAACACACAATCGATAGAACTATTATAGGGGGAGAAGGGAGGCTAAATCACAAATGAGTGAGTTTCCGACAAAAATGAAGGTCAGATTTGAACTAATTGCATCAAAAGCCATCAAAAAACCACTTTTTTGCTTCAAATTCCATGGTTGCTGTAATATGAACATTTACCTCAGCATACTGTATGTTGTTTATAATTATATGGACTGTACTGTACAGTAAAATCTATTACGGTACTGTACCATGCATCAATTTTGTATGAAAATTCTGATTATCCTAGCAACTTCTAAAAGGCCATCAAGCCTATTTGACTCACCTTTTATACAAACCCTTCAGTGGTCTGTTAATCAGCTTGGGGGCATATACAGGATTTGATCAAGAGAATGAATTATGAGCCCTTCAAAATAATGTCAAATACTGTATTGACTTAATTATCATCAAACTAAAGATATTCATTGTACAGTATTGAATGAATAATATACTGTATCATGAAACATAGGCCAGTATCATTACCAGTCATAATGAAGTAGCAGTAGGAGCCAGATCCATGTTGCCTGTATGGTCATTATTCCTACAACTCTGGAGTGCAGCCAGCCACCTCACTCTATCCCCTACACCAACTGTCCTACTGTCTCACTGCAAGAAAGAAACACTTTACACAGTCTGAGCACCCGTCATAAAAAGACTGTTGCTATCAATAGGGGTCAATATCTTGATAGTGATGAACTATTCATCTGGTTATGATCAAAATAGTCCAATAAGTACTGATCACATTTGTCTTTACTTACATATAATATATTATCTAAAGTAACAACACTAAAGAACTCAACCTATTTAAAACTAACCTTTCTTTGTTATTAGTCAAGTCTGGTTCTCTTTAGGTGTTGATGGTAAGTTAAATCAATACACCATACTGTCCATGTGTGATGTGCTGAGGAACAGTAATCATTGGGTAATTAAACTATATATATATATATATATATATACTGTATATATTTGCACAAACTACGAAAGTCCTCTATAAACCACAGTAAAAATGTGGCATTTTTATACTCTTTTACTATGCTATCACCGGCGGGTCAGTTGTCAATAATTACCCATTTGCCATAACTATGACAGCGTCCACTATAAAACACAGTGAAATTGCAGCGTTCTTAAATTCGTTTCCTATGAAAAATCAGTGGCAGGTCAGACATCAATAATTACCCTTTATATATAACTGTGGGCTAAAATTCATCCATTGACTGTCCGCAGGTTTCCAATTTTCAATAATACAGACACAAAGACTATATGAAAAAAAACATAAGACTTCCTATCAATTCTGGTGCAAATTAATAGCAACAGAGTACTGTATCACAAAAATTTCTAAGCATAAATTTCTGTAACCGCTTTGTTGCCAGAGTCACTTTTTTCGTCCTCCCCTCCTGCTCTTCGCGACATGACAACCAATGATCTTCAAGTATCGTGTCATGTTACTTGGCTGGCCAATCATTTTGAAGGCTCGTGATGGCGTACGATAACTGTTCTCTCCCTTATCTAGCTGTTATTCAGAGAGTTTATCAGAACAATAGTGAAGCAATCCAAATATTACAAGATCATGGTGACCTACCAACATCAAGACTGTGTCCTACATGTGGAAATTGTTTACTTTTAAAAAAAGACAAATTCTTTTGTCTATAACCATAAGAGTACCAGAGCGTCCAGCTGTATCCTCCATACAGTAGCAGGTAAGCTCCAAAAAATGGTTAGGTTAAGTTAGGTTAGGTTAGTTTAGGTTAAGTGAGGTGAGGTTAGGTTAAGTGAGGTTAGGTTTGGTTCATTTTTTTTTGTTTTACGGTGTTTTACCCAAAGGCCACTAATTTGAACCAGAAACGAAGGTGAGATTTGAGTAAAACACCAAAAAAACACAAAAGATAAAACCTTTCCTTAAACCAGTGGTTCTCAACCTTTTTCACTCCATTCACCCCTTGAGGAATTTTCAACATCCTCGTGGCCTCCTTCATTTTTCTCCCAGAACAGACAAACAGACAAGTGATAAAGACTAAAGAATGATAGATAAATAGGACAAGAGTTAGAATGGCAAACACACACACATTCACATACATAACACGCCCATGCACTCACACATAAAGCACACATACAGTCATACACAAACATGCACACAGGTAACCATTCACACTCAAGCTAGCAAGCTGAAATGTACTTCCTGTAAGAAAGAACACGCCTCCTTTGACAAGCAGTGCTCAACTTGGAAGAATGAGAAGAATAGTGAGTCATACCAATTTAGCACTAAAAATGGTAGGATTATGTAAGTAAAGAATGAGTATGAACAACAATGGCACCAATAAATAAGGAAATAATTAATAAGGGAAGTATACAAATATTTCACCCACGTAAAGCAGCGACCACATGATTATGAAACAAAATAAGTAACACCAATTACGGAGTATATTATGCTTGAGTCAAGCTCAAACACAATATATGGTTCAGAGACAATACACTCCACTGTTTTCGTGATGGTATCCCAGGTCAGACTGAGATCATTCGGTCCTATCACCACTTGCAAAGGGATGACACACGGACACATACTGAACAAGTCAGTTCAGCAGCTCGGTCCAGCGCCTGTCACACAGACAGGGACTGGACCTGTGAAATCTTAAATCCATAAAAAAATAGCACCAGAGTTTGTAAATATTAAAATTGTATTGTCGTTATGATTAAACAAAATGACAAAAAAAAGAATGAAAATTCTCTTCTGCCAAGTCAAAATAAGTAATACAAGTTTTGTTTAATTCAGATTCCCAACATTATTTGGAAACGTACAATTTATAACAGCTCGCTGTGGCTCCCCTAAATTCTTGCCATGCCTCCCTTGGGAGCCATGGCCCCCAGGTTGAGAACCACTGCCTTATAACAAAAGAACCAACCTACCTAACCTAACCTAACTTACAAGGAGGATGAGGAAAGGAAGAGACAACTGACTAAGTGAGGAGTATAACCTCAGGTAAACATGGCGGGAACCTGCGGACAGCCAATGGACGAACATTAACCCATGCTTTATATTGTTTAATTATAAAACTTTGGTGAAAAAAAAAGGTGGAGACAATAGAACATTATTTCCTGCATTAAGATAAGGAAATAATGGTATTATTTTAGTTTCGGTTATCCAGGGAATCTCAGGGTGGGCCTTGGGGACGAAGCCCCCCACGGTTAGGTTAAACATAGTACCTGGGTTCTGTGGGTAGGTTACGTTAATATATAGGACTAACCCGTCATGGCTGCATAGCGTTGATGCAGCCGTATCATCTCACGTCCAGAAAATAAGTCAAATTTCACTATATCATAGTAAGTTCTTTCTGTTTAATATACAGGGGAAGTTAGGTAAGGTTAGGTAGGTTTGTTTGGTTAGGTCTGGTCTTCAAAGCCACAAATGTTAAGTAGCGCTAAATTTTAAAAATATAAATTTTTTAACATATTTCCACAAACTAAAAAAAATGCCCACTATAATATAACAATGGAAATCAGCGTTTTTTATAATTGTTATCAATCAATTTCGGTGGCGGGTTCGTCCTATATAATTACCCTAGGTTAGAATACTTTGGATATTCTAAACTAAATACAGGGATGGCCGAAACAAAGATTTCCAAAATACTAAAAATGAAGGCATCACCAGGTAACTTTGTACCCAAATCTGGGTGTTTCTTCCCAATCGCCAATTGTGCAGGTTCGTCCTGTACATTGTACGGTTCCATGACAAAACCCCAACGGGGCTGTCATTTGTCAACACTAACCTAACCTAAACATAAAAGTGTTTTATTTTATATATGAGACTGGGGATTTGTCCGTTGGAGATTTTATCTGGTCACCCATTGTACACTAAAGGTTTCCTTCTCAGTGCCGCAAAACCTTCACATCAGCTTCTTTCTGAGCTTACAAATAATCGTTTAGATAATATACTGTACAGTACACTGTATACTAACTGGTGGACACAACGCCGAACTGCAAGCGTCCAATCCACTACCCGTAAGTTCCTCAAGTGCCACTGTAGTGGATTTCTCCCCTACAAACGCTGTTTACTTTTACTTTTATCCTCTTCGCCACTGATCGGCTTGTTAGCCGCTTGGGCGATCGGTCACGTCTCTTTTCATTTATATTCTTCACCACTGATCGGCTCGCTAGCCGCCCGGGCGATCGGTCACGTCTCTGTTGCGCACTGTTGGCAAGTACTGGGCATGCACCGGCTCCTGAATGTACCTGAACCCGCTCCAGTGTTGGTCAAGTCTTCTCTTGAAAGAGCTCACACTCGGTGCCGTCACAACACTCTCTGGTAGATTGTTCCAATAGTTCACAACTCTCACTCCGAAAAAGTTTGCCCTCACGGTTTTCTGGACTTGCGGCTTCTTCAATCTTGAGCTGTGACCCCTTGTGGGGCGAGCGTCCGCCAGCTCCAACTAAGGACACTCAACTGAGTAGTGCCCCCTGAGATGCTTATAAACCTCAACTAGGTCCCCCCTTGCCCGTCTGTAGTATAAGCTAGGCAAGTTCAGGCGCTCCAATCTCTCAGGGTAGCTGAGGTGCCGAAGTGCAGGCACCAGCTTGTGGCCCTCCTTTGAACATTTTCAACCAACTGACAGTCCCTAGCATATCTCGGGGACCAGATGGGGTGACAGTACTCCAGATGGGGAAGCACTTCACTCCTGAAGATCGTCACGAGGGACGGACCGTCTAGATATCTGAACGACCTTCTTATAAGACCCAATAATTTATTTGCCTGATTTACTTCTTCTCACAATGGCCCGAGAACTTCAGCTCATTGTCAACATACACACCTAGGTCCTTCTCACACACAGTCTCAACTAGTACATTTTCTTCATCCCGTTGGGACATATGGTACGCCTCCTTACCGTTGGTACGCCCCAGGTGCATCCTCTTACACTTCGTGACATTGAATCTCAGCAGCCATTCCTTCGACCATTCCTGGAGCCCACAGAGGTCCTTCTGCAGCTCTTCACAGTCCGCTTGGTTCTTAATTTCCCGAAATAACTTGCCATCATCGGCAAACATTTGTATGGAGGAGTGTACAACGTCAGGCATATCATTTATGAAACAAACAAACAACAGCGGGCCCAATACACTACCCTGCGGTACCCCACTTGTTACAGGTACAGATGACGATTTCGTGCCATTAATCACCACACATTGCTTGCGGTCATGTAGAAAGTCTTCTATCCACGCTAGGACATTTCCCCGAATTCCGTACCCTTCCAGTTTGATTTTCAGCCTTTCGTGGGGTACACTGTCGAAAGCCTTGGCAAAATCTAGGTAAATATTGTCGATATTACCACCCCGTTCTAGAATATGGGTCCAAATATCCAATACCTTGAGCAATTGTGTCAAGCAAGAGCGCCCCGGCATAAAACCGTGTTGGCAATCTTTTACAAGGTTGTTTCGTAGTAGATGTTCCATCGCTGCATCTCTGATAATACTCTCAAGTACTCTACATATTGTGTCCCTCGCCTTGATGGTGTAGTGGATTTCTCCCCTACAAACGCTGTTTGTCGCTGAGTAGCCGACCCCGCGAATTCCCCAATGTATGCCTCGTGGTCTAGGTCAACCAGCGCCGCCTTACATGACGGAGGTCAACTATTGAGCCACGCCTACCTCCGCTATAAAAGACCTGACCTCGTGGTGACCACTCTCTCTCCTTCTAGCTACAGCCGCAGCAAGCTACACCACCTCCTCCGCCACAGTTCAACTACTGATATCCACAGTAGTTGAACTGTTGGTAAGGGAACCATGGGGAGAGTAGGACTGCACAAATTATTAATACCTAACTTTGTTGGCCAGGCAGTTATTCTGATATCCATAAATTTTACAAGTGAAATCCCCCAAGTCATTAAATTCTTCATCAGTTAGATATGTACGTTCTCCCATTTTCTGGAAAGATTCCATGGAGTTTGAATGTTTCACCAGATAGGTCCAGGAACGAACTTTACAATATCGCAGCCCGTGAATGCCTGAAGGCCGAGCAGAGATAGACTTAATTCTCTCCCAGTTTTATTGACAATGTTCTTTACATCTATCACTACCCATTTATCGCCTGCTACAGAATCCATCATAACTTAGGTTTTGAGATTATTCGCAGCATAATGATGGACCAGCAGACATAACACACCTGTGTCAGGTGAAGTGGCTATCACAGGTGTTTTATCAAACTGCTTGGCGGCATGCATGAGATGCAATATCATGCGGGTGTCTGCCTCTTCTTGTGTTGAACACAGGTCTTCACATTCTTCTACCACAGTTCTCTTCCCATCTGGACCAGAAGCATTTGTCTGTGTTTGTGAAGTATAGTTGAACTTCATGGAGTTTATTTGAATATTCAGGTTTGGACCACTCATAGACTAAATTCTTTTTGAAATTTACTTCATTGTGAGCAGTTTAGAAAACAACTAATAAAATATTTAGTTTGGGGGTGTAATAGGTTTGCGAGGCTTTGCTAACACCCTCCACCACTTTTGAGAGTGCTAATAAGTGGATTCATATTGCCTAGGGTCATACCAAATTAGAAATGCTATTTAGCAAAATAAGTCATGGGGTAGGGGGGGGGGCATTGGTCTCTGCCCGCTGGACTAGAAGATCCCCCTAAATGATTACTGTACTTTACATCAGTATTTACACAAGAGATGATGGATAACATGCCAGTACCAGAGAAAATGCATTCCCCGAGTGCGGAAAATGAATTAGTTAAGAGAGATAACAATTAAGGACGATAACTTTAATAGCTACTTTGAAGTGGACGGAGCACAGACCAAGGTGATACAGGCGGTGGTAAACGGGATTTGTACTCTTCTAAGACTCCTATTCAAGAAATCTTTGGATTGAGTAAAAGCGCCCAGGGACTGGAAATCACCCAACGTCACCCCAGTGTACAAAAAGGAAAGGAAAATTACAGCAGAAAACCACAGGCCGATCTGCCTTTTTATGCGAACTTCAGAAAATTCTGAGGGACACCATCAATACCTGACCGAGCACAGTTTCGTCAACGCATCACCATATGGTTTCATGGAAAGGAAATCCTGCCTGACAAACTTACTTGCGTTCCTTGAAATGATAACAGACTACGAGGACTAAAGTCTACCAATGGGTGTGTTATATACAGTACAGGGGTACATGGATTTTTCTAAGGTGTTTCACAGGCTCACATGCACGGCTAGCCTCTAATATCCAGGCACGTGACATCCCAGTACTGAGGGCCCTAGGACTAGCACCCTCCACACAAGACACAATAGGGCGGATCTCGTAGACATTCAAAATCTTGAAAAGGAAAGAAAATGTAAACCCAGGCCACTTTTTCGTGATGTCACGCACCACCAACGGGGGGGGACATAACTACAAGTTGGCAAAGTTATGCAGAACGAACTTGTGGAAAGACTTTCGCGCAGAGGTAGGTAGATCTATGGAACGGTCTACCAGCTCCCGTGTAACACTCAAGATACTAACCAGCCTGTTGCTTATGTTGTAGATTGGTGTTAGTCTCACAAAGTAATGCTCATCTGGCACAGCATTGGTACTAATGGATAGAGTCACTGGTCTTGTCACTGACTTATACTACGTAGTCCTGTGGCCGCTTCGCTCACTAAAAAGACGTATGAAAAATATTACTTGGGCGTACATTTAATTCTTATTTAATTCAACATGAAATAAAATGAATCAGACCAGAACTTACCTGGTATCTGAGGGGTACTTGAGTTGTAAGCCTGCGATACACGTGTTACCTTATTATAAAGGAACTCAACATGTGACCAGCTCGAGAGAGAGAGAGAGCACAGGCACTGGTCGCTTGCCCAGATGTTGAGAAACTCATTCTGTTAATAAAAGTTGACCGCAAAAGCCTCCCAGATATTGCAACAGGAGGTATGTTATGGATTGTTATTCTTGCACACCATGGTCGTGATTGAGACGGTGTTGGCCTGAGTATATTGATGTAGGTTACACGCTACATCCAGCTGTTGTATCAATATCACGTTCTTGGTGTTACTGTTGGTGGAAAAAGTTTGTATACAGTGACTTGCCTCAGTGGTTCCTACCCAACGCGTAGTTCTGAAAAATTAACCTTCGGTAAACCTAAGTGGTATACATACGTGTAACATATCGCTTTATCAGGAGTTATGTTATTCATAATTCACTTCCTGTAGGAATAACATGAAAAGGTTTATAAGCAAGTAGGTCGCTTATCCAACTGAAACAAACTCAAACATTAGTTGTATTGATAGTGTACATGACTACGTCAGTTGCCATAGAGGTATTATAATTATGTCGTGTGTTTATATTTATTCTCTCCCTCTCTACACACACATACATAACAGAGTTTCTGTATCACCTACTGTAATGTAAAACATATAAAGACCAACTAACAAGACACTTGAGAAGGCCAAAGAATTAACACCCTTTACACACAAGTTTGCTTTCCTTTATTATCTTGCTACACGAACACATTTAGTGGTTCAACAGGTGGCACATACGGTAGGACACATTGTTGGTGCAACATGTGACACATACTGCAGCATACATTTAGAGGTTCATCATATGACACAGGGTACACTCGGTATCGTTACCAGCTGTGGAGAACGTGAAGGCGTGTCGACCTGCATGTGGGTGCGAGAACCATGGCTGATCCGGGCTATAAGAGAGAACCATGGCTGATCCTGGCTATAAGAGAGAACCTTGACTGATCCGGGCTATAAGAGAGAACCATGGCTGATCCTGGCTATAAGAGAGAACCTTGACTGATCCGGGCTATAAGAGAGAACCATGGCTGATCCTGGCTATAAGAGAGAACCTTGACTGATCCGGGCTATAAGAGAGAACCATGGCTGATCCTGGCTATAAGAGAGAACCATGGCTGATCCTGGCTATAAGAGAGAACCATGGCTGATCCCGGATGACAGCAGATTCCTCAAGTACTGCTGAAAATGTGAGAGTAGCAGTTCCTAGTGATGTGGGTGGCAGGTGGACAGCGCCAACGTGTACCATTCAGTGGGGAAGACGAGGGTGGCGAGGCAGTGTCCCAGTATCAGGAGGTAAAAGGCCCCCTGCATGTGCTCCAGGTTTAACACCATCTCTTCCCTCTCGCCCTGACGCGGGAGTAATGGCTCACTTAATCGAGGTAGGGTAGGTTAGGTTAGGTTGGGTTAAACAATTGAGGTCAAATTGGGAATGTTGTGAATAAAACAGATCTTGACGAAGTCTGGGATAATGTATAAGAGTAGATGTAAAATGGATATATTTGTCTCTTTTTCTCTACATGAATTTATGCGACATAAGACATGTAACAAGTTCAACTATTAACATATAAGATATAGTCTTACGTAAAGTCCAGACATGAATTTTTGGCAAACCCGCAAAAAATGAAATTTTCGTAAGGTCCGGACCTGTCGTTCCGGCACTTTTGGCGAACCGGCCAAAAAAGAATTTTTCATAAGGTCCGGACACGAATTTTTGTCATTTTTGGCAAACCGGCAAAAAATGAAATTTTCGTAAGGTCCGGACCTGTCGTTCCGGCACTTTTGGCGAACCGGCCAAAAAAGAATTTTTCGTAAGGTCCGGACATGAATTTTTGTCATTTTTGGCAAACCCGCAAAAAATGAAATTTTCGTAAGGTCCGGACCTGTCGTTCCGGCACTTTTGGCGAACCGGCCAAAAAAGCATTTTTCGTAAGGCCCGGACATGAATTTTTGTCATTTTTGGCAAACCGGCAAAAAATGAAATTTTCGTAAGGTCCGGACCTGTCGTTCCGGCACTTTTGGCGAACCGGCCAAAAAAGCATTTTTCGTAACGTCCGGACATGAATTTTTGTCATTTTTGGCAAACCCGCAAAAAATGAAATTTTCGTAAGGCCCGGACCTGTCGTTCCGGCACTTTTGTCGAACCGGCCAAAAAAGTATTTTTCGTAAGGTCCGGACATGAATTTTTGTCATTTTTGGCAAACCCACAAAAAATGAAATTTTCGTAAGGTCTGGACCTGTCGTTCCGGCACTTTTGGCGAACCGGCCAAAAAAGAATTTTTCGTAAGGCCCGGACATGAATTTTTGTCATTTTTGTCGACCCCGCAAAAAATGAAATTTTCGTAAGGTCCGGACCTGTCGTTCCGGCACTTTTGGCGAACAGGCCAAAAAAGCATTTTTCCTAAGGTCCGGACATGAATTTTTGTCATTTTTGTCTACCCTGCAAAAAATGAAATTTTCATAAGGTCCGGACCTGTCGTTCCGGCACTTTTGGCGAATAGGCCAAAAAAGCATTTTTCGTAAGGTCCGGACATGAATTTTTGTCATTTCTGTCGACCCCGCAAAAAATGAAATTTTCGTAAGGTCCGGACCTGTCGTTCCGGGCGATTAATGGCGCAGGAGGGCAATAATAATGATACGGCAATCACCATACCGGCGATTAACGCGCATGGGGCTGAAGAATGAGTGGCAGCAATCGCCTACGGGCGATTAACGGCGACAGGGGGCAATAAGAATGAGTGGCAGCAATCACCTTACGGCGATTAATGGCGACAGGGGGCGATAAGAATGAGTGGCGCAATCGCCTTACGGTAATTAACGGCGGCAGGGGGCGATAAGAATGATGGCGGCATTCGCGTTACGGGCGATTAACGCGAGCAGGGGGCAATGAGAATGAGTGGCGGAAATTTCTCACGGGCGATTAACGGCGCAGGGGGCAATAAGAATGAGTAGGCAATCGCATTACGGCGAGTAACGGCAGGGGCGATAAGATGAGTGCGGCACGCTTCGGGCGATTAACGGCAGGGGGGGCGATAAGAATGAGTGTGGCACCGCTGCACGGGCGCTTAACGGCGACAGGGGGCAATAAGAATGAGTGGCGGCAACCCTTTCAGGCGATTAACGCGTAGGGAAGGCCGACAAGAATGAGTGGCGGCAACGCTTTAACACGGACGCAATAACCGGCGGCACGGGCGCGGAAGAATGAGTGGCGGCAATCGCTTTACGGGCGATTGACGGCGCACGGAGGCGAGAAGAATTAGTGGCGGCAATTGGCTTTACGGGCGATAAAACGGCGGAAGGGAGCGCATAAGAATGAGTGGCGCAACGCTTACGGGCGCATTAACGCGCAGGGGGCGATGAGTGCGGTAACGCTACGGGCGATTAACGGCAAGAGGGGACGATAAGAATGAGGCAGCAATCGCCTTAAGGGCGATTAACGCGGGGGACCATTAAGAATGAGTGGCGGCAACGCCTACGGGAGATTAATGGCGGCAGGGGCGATAAGAATGAGGTGGCGCAACCGCTTTACGGGCGCTTAACGGTGACAGGGGGCTAAGAATGAGTGAGCGCAAAGTCCTACGGGCATTCACCGCGGAGGGGGCCGATAATGATGGTGCAACGCTTTACGGGCGATTAACGCGCAGGAGGGCGATGAATGTGGTGGCGGCAACGCTTTACGGGCGATTAGCGGGCAGGGGGGCGATAAGAATGAAATCGCCGCATTAACGGCGCAGGGGGCGATAAGAATGAGTGGCGGCAATCACCACGGGCGCTTAACGGCGCAGCAGGGGCAATAGGAATGAAGGCGGCAATCGCCTTTACGGGCGATTAGCGGGCAGGGGGCGATAAGAATGAGTGGCGCAACGCCTACGGGCGATTAACGGCGACAGGGGGCAATAAGAATGAGTGGCGGCAACTTCTCACCGGCGTTTAACGGTGGCAGGTGGGGATAAGCGAGTGGCGTGAATTCGCCACGGGCGATTAACGCGGCAGGGGGGCGATAAGAATGAGTGGCGCAATCGCCTTACGGGCGATTAACGGCGGCAGGGGGCATAAGAATGAGTACGCAATTGCCTTACGGGCGATAATGAAGGGCAGGGGGCAATAGGAATGAGTGGCGGCAATCGCTTACGGGCATTAACGGCAGAAAGGGCCGATAAGAATGAGTATGCAACGTTTTACGGAGATTAACCCGCAGGGAGGTGATAAGAATGAGTGGCGGCAATCGCCTTCACGGGCGATTAACGGTAGGGGGGGCGATAAGAATGAGTGGTGGCAATCGCTTACGGGCAATTAACAGCGGCAGGGGGGCAATAACGAGTGGCGGCAATCGCTTACTAGCGATTAACGGCGGCAGAGGGCGATAGGATGAGGCAGGCAATGCCTTACAGGCGATTAACGCCGGCAGGAAATGGTGGCGCAACGGCTTTACGGGCGTATTACTGGCGCAGGGGCAATAAGAATGAGTTGGCAACGCCTTACGGCGATTAACGGCAGGGGTTAGAATGACGAGCGCAACGCTTTACGGGCGACATCAAGGCAGCGGGCAATAGGAATGAGTGATGCACGCTTTACCGCGATTAACGCAGCAGGGGGCGATAAGAATGAGTGGCGCAATCGCCTTACGGGCGATTAATGGGGGCAGGGGGGGCGATAAGAATGAGTGGTGGCACCGCCACGGGCAATTAACGCGCAGGGGGCAATAAGAATGAGTGGCGCAATCGCCTCACGGCACGAACGGCGACAGGGGGCAATAGCAATGAGCGGCGCAATGTCCTTAATGGCAATTTATGGCGGCAGGGGACGATAAGAACGAAGTGGCGGCAACGCCTCACGGGCGATTAACCGCAGAAGGGCGGCGAGAATGTGGGCGCAACGCCTACGGGCGAATAGCGGTGGCAGGGGGCGATAAGAATGAGTGGCGGCAATCGCCTTACGGGCGATTAACGGCGGCAGGGGGCGATAAGAATGAGTGGCGGCAATCGCCTACGGCGCTTTAACGCGGCAGGGGGCAAAGAATGAGTGGCGGTAATCACGGCGGGGCTTATTACCCGCAGGCGGCAGGGAGCAAGAATGAGGGCTGCAACGCCACGGGCTATTAACGGGGCAGGGGGCGATAAGAATGAGTGGCGTCAATCGCCTTACGGGAAATTAACGGCGCAGGGGGGCAATAGAATGAGTGTCGCAATCGTCTTACGGGCGATTAGCGCAGGGGGGCGGTAAGAATGAGCGGCAATCGCTTACGGCGATTAAAGGCGCAGGGGGCGATAAGAATGAGTGGCGCAACGCTTACGGGCGAACGCCACAGGGGCAAAGAATGAGTGGCGGCAATTCCTTACCGCTTAACGGTGGCAGGGGGATAAGCATGAGTGGCGGTATTCGCCTTACGCAGCCATTAACGGCGTAGGGGCGAAAGAATGAGTGGCGTACCGCCACGGCCGATTAACGGCGTAGGGGCGATAAGAATGAGTGGCCGCAATTGCCTACGGGCATAAGAAGTGAGTGCAATCGCTCCACGGGCGATTAACGGCGGCAGGGGGGGCAATAAGAATGAGTGAGGCGCACTTTACGGGCATTAACGCCACAGGGAGAGAATAAGTGGCGCAACGCCTTACGGGCGATTAACCGCGCAGGGGGGCGATAAGAATGAGTGGCGGAATCGCCTACGGGCGATTAACAGCCGCAGGGGGGCAATAATGAGTGGCGCAACGCCTTACGGGCGATTAACGGCGGTAGGGGGAAAAGAATGACGAGGCACGCTTTACGGGCGACCAACCCAGCAGGGGGGGCAATAAGAATGAGATGCAACCGCCCACGGGCGATTAACGGCAGGGAGGCAATAGGAATGAGTGGCAGCAACGCCTTTACGGGCGATTAACGGCGGCAGGGGAAATAAGAATGAGTGGCGGCAAATCGCCTTAACGGGCCATTAACGGCGGCAGAGGGGCAATAAGAACGAGTGGCGCAACGCCCACGGGCGATTAACGGCGCAAGGGGGCAATAAGAATGAGTGGCGGCAATCGCCTTACGGCGACAACGGCAGCAGGGGGGCAATAAGAATGAGTGGCGGCAACGCTTTACGAGGCCATTAACGGCGCAAAGGGCCAATAAGAATGAGTGGCGGAATCGCCACGGGCGATTAACGGCGGCAGGGGGGC